CTATGTCACATTAATGATGTACGACTGTCATGACTCGCATTAGTGATTTGTTTAGTTGTGGTATTATGATGATCAAATTAAGTAGTGAAGTGTTGGATTTAATGCACATGTATGTTAACCTTGCTAGACCTAACTATAAGATAATCATATGAACCAAGTGGGAGAATGTAAGACTTAAATGTGGCCCACATGATTTTTGGCACATGTGATATTTATTAATGACTAACTAATCGGTGAATTGGTTGGGTCAAGATAATGATAAGGTTGTCAATCCCAAGCTAACCGGGTAACTGATATTTTCCGATTGGTTAATGAGAAGTAGTAGTTTTTTGATATCTTACTTTGATAGGAAGTGAAGTTTATGTTGATCTAGAAAATCGGTCATTTCTCTACCTGTAAATATGCACATGCCCAATTGATTTGTGGATCTTACGGTAAAAAGTTAAGAGAGAGAAATTGTGTTTCAGGCTACACCACGTATTGTTTTTCTTGTTCAAGAAATCAAAAAGTTTGCATCAGTGGCTTCAGGTATGCCAATTATAATATTTTAATTCCACATAATTGGTATATAAAAATCATTTTAGTTCTAGTTCTTGGATTTAGGATTTAAATATTATTCAATCAAATTAAATAGTTTTACAAAGTAACCTTCTGTCAATTACCAATTTTAGATTTCCTAAATACTACATCTTAAGCAAAACAAGGTTTGCCAAGTACATATTACCTTCATCAAAGTCCGAAAAAGTTATAAGTTAAGAAATTTTTTATTTTTGTTTCTTAAGCTTTTTTTTTATATACTATGAATGTAGTAATATACCAATGTCTAATAGCTAATAAGTTTCTAAATGTTTCAAACATAATCCAAACACAAACATGTAAATACAAACTTACGAGACGAATTTGGACTTGTCTTCGATTTCTTTCTTATTTCGGCTTTTTACTTGTAATTGTCCCTATCTATTGAAAATCAAACCCATGAGAACGGGAGGCATGAGAAAACCCAAAAAAGAAAAAAGAAAATGGAACATGAAACCCATTGAGAGTTTCTCTAGGCGACAATGGACCAATGATTCTATTTTCTTTCAATGAAGCACCACTGCAAAATTCCATAACCATAACCCAATGAAGAAGAAAAAGAAGTCATTGTTGTGACAATGCAAACAAAAGAGGCATACGAAATTTCACAAAATGTTTATGTTTTTAGTGGTTTCTCACACATTGTAAGCAAAACGAAACAAAAAAAATGTCTAATATCAATTTGAAACTTTAAATAGTGGTCCACGCTATCTACAGTTCTACATCATGAAAATTTTACTCTAAACTACAAGGTCTTATCTTTTTTGACATTTTCTTAGAAATAAAAAAAGTAGCAAAGTAGTGACCCAAAAATATTTCAATAAAATATGTATAGGACTCTTCAGAAGGTAAATAATTTTTTTGATCCAAAACCATAGATATTATAATAAAGCTCAAAACATACAATGAAACATACATAATATGTTCACGAAGGTAACTTGTTCAAAGCGCATATAACTCATTGAACTAACAATGAATGTAAGAAAAAAAATATAACACAATGGACAAAACCCAAGTCATAATATCACAATTCACAACCATATCTAGAATCCATATATCAACTTCATATACATGGTTTGCTGATAACTACTTGGTATGGTATAGATCACAAATGATTGGGCAAAATAAACTTTGTATGATTACTTTCTCCATTAATGACCGAGATGCAAACAATAACTAATGGGGAATAATAAGATGAAAAATAGCACAGAATTACAAATAGTCAAGTGAAGATGGATGCCGCATTTATACCGGTAAATGTCTTTATTTATTTCTTTTCATTATATTCCAATCACATTTTATCGTCTGCTTCTACGACAAAAACAGCAAAGCTAAAGATTGTCGCTTGATGAAGTAAGTTTTTTAGGCGCATGAGAATAAAAGAACAATTATACTTGAAGGAGTAGTCAGCTGACTATTAAGTGTAGAGAGAGAGAGAAAGGTGAAGGGAATTTATAGGTTTATCCGACATTATAATCATCGCATGCCGAATATACGGTCATTTGATAATGTATCATTTTAAGAATTTTTAGTAATTTGTTTAATAGATACAAATTGTGGAAAAAAATAGAAGAATGATACATATTATGAGACATAAAATGCATATGATTATAACATTTCAATTGAATTATTCTATTCCACATCTTTAAAAAAATTTAAATTAAAATATTTAATAATATGACAATAGAGTTATACAAAACTTCTATCCAGAAGAAACACAATAAGTCACGGTGAAGTGGAATCCTTTATTGCCCTTTTAGAGCAACTCCAAGGGGAGTGGCATCAAGAGTGACAACCTCATAACTGTTTGTAATTGCCAAAATGCTACCCTAAATTCAAAATGTTCCCCTCCAATGAAGGTGGTATCAAGGGGTGAAAACTAGCAACAATTGTCCTGGGGTAGCAATTTTTCAAACACTAAAAGGAGAAAAGGAGAGGTTTGCAAGAGCCGTTGGGGTCTACTATTCTCTCTCAACGGCTCTATTCAACCAAAAAATTTTATAAAAATATCGTGAGAGGGAAAGGGAAAGAAGGCTTGCCGTGAAAATCGCTTGCTGGAGAAACTTGCTGTGAAAATCGCTTGCCTGATTTTTCTTCAAACTTTTTGGTTGGTGATGACAGATCTGGAGAAGGAGGCACAAAGAGAGGGAAAGGGGAAAGAGGCGCAAAAGGAAAGGGGAAGGAGGAGCAGAAGACGCAAGAGAAGAGGAAAGGGAAGGAGGCGTTTTGGGTGATTTTATTTAGGGTGATTTTGTTTAAGGGAAGTGGAAGGGGAAGGGGAAGGAGGCGTTATAATTTGTTTTAATTAAGAGTGATTTTATTTATTTTTTAATTGATTATTTTATCTTACCTGTAAATTGATTATAATTTTTTTTTAGATGGGTTCGCAAGTTGACGATTCTTTCATTAATTTGCTTATGAAACGTCACCGATTTATATGATGATGCTATACAGACCAATTTCACAGTATTGACACTAGTACAAAATAAAATCACTCAAAGAGTGAGAAAATCGCAAAGGATAAAAAACTTTACTCTAGAAGAAGATAAATTAATTGTGTCTGTGTGACTTAACACAAGTAAATATGAAATTATTAGAAATGAACAACAAGGTGGTACTTTCTAGTATAGAATATTGAAATACTTTGAACTTTATAGAGACAATCAAAAAGAGCGTTTGCAAGCTTTTATTAAAAGTTGTTGCTTGGACTGATATAAATGCAAAATGCGACAAATTTGTTAGTTTTTATAGTCAAATTAAAAAATTGCGACAAAGTGGACACATCGAGCAAAATAATGTAATGATTGAGCTTTTTTAGATAGACACTATTATGGTTTGATATTTGAATTATTGACTAAATGATTTCATATGTTTTTCAAGTTGATAAAACAAAAGAAATGTTTTCTAAGATAATTAGAAGACCATTTCAATACGAGCATTGTTGGAATATATTGAAAATGAAGCGAAAATGAACTGATAACCTCACCAACAATAAGAGAGCAAAAACACATTCAGCTGATNATATTTGAATTATTGACTAAATGATTTCATATGTTTTTCAAGTTGATAAAACAAAATAAATGTTTTCTAAGATAATTAGAAGACCATTTCAATACGAGCATTGTTGGAATATATTGAAAATGAAGCGGAAATGAACTGATAACCTCACCAACAATAAGAGAGCAAAAACACATTCAACTGGTAATCCTGCTGAATCAAATCATGTTGAATCTTACTATTCAACTCCATATTTAGGGGATGACACTGAACTCTCGTCCACTTTCAATCTCGATTTGGCATTTGACATANCCTGCTGAATCAAATCATGTTGAATCTTACTATTCAACTCCATATTTAGGGGATGACACTGAACTCTCGTCCACTCTCAATCTCGATAGGCCATTTGACAGANGGGATGACACTGAACTCTCGTCCACTTTCAATCTCGATTTGGCATTTGACATAAAAACTTCGAATAAACAACTTAAAAACAAAGAAAAGAAAATCGGTGTTGAAGCATCACTAGATCATCACCACTGGAATCAAAAAATGGAAGTGGAACGACAAAAAACTGAGCGACACGATAAAATTTATGCTCAATAGGAGATAACATTGGAGCAACATCGTAAACAGATNAAGAAAATCGGTGTTGAAGCATCACTAGATCATCACCACTGGAATCAAAAAATGGAGGTGGAACGACAAAAAACTGAGCGACACGATAAAATTTATGCTCAATAGGAGATAACATTGGAGCAACATCGTAAACAGATAGAAATTGAAGAAAGACAAGTGTAAGAAATTGAAAAGTAAAATGAAATGAAAATCATAGAAATTGACACTACTGACATAGTTTCAATTTCTGCAACATATTGGAATAACTTGAAAATAGAGATTATGAAAAAACGGAATTTTAATTTTTAGTCGTTATTTATTATGTTGCTATTATTTATGAAACTGTGTATTAAATTTTAATTATGGTATATAAGTTTAATTATATTTTTTAATAATATAATTAAAAAATAACACCTTATTTTGACACTTATTATTAAAACAAATTTATAATTTAAAAATTCTAAATTACTGTTTAAAATTACAAATAAATGATTTGCAGTCTAAAATTACAACTCGGGAGTTGCTCGACACTACAATGTGGCCTTCGTTGGTCCAAGCCTACGAAAAAGAAGAACATGGGCAAATAACGCGCCACGTCATAACCTAAGTACACTGCCCCACGTGTTGTGCTCTCAACTGCATGAAACGACCATCATACTCGCCATCCAAAACTAAACGACATGACCTCCTGTTTACGTTCCTCAGTCTTCCTTCCTCTCTCGCCTACGAAACTCTTCGCATACCTATCCAAACCCTCTTCAGTATTCTCCTACTCAACCAAAATCCAGATTTACACTCGCCCTAAAATCATGAATTCCAATTCACAACGTGGACAAACATCAAGTTCCGAGCATGTTTATCAGGTCCCCGGATTGAGTTCCAGCGAAATGAACCAAATCGCAGAGCTAACATTTCAGAGATACTCATATTCGTCGTCTTCGATGCCGAAGAGACGCGGCAATGGGGTCGCCATTGTCTGGTTCAGGAATGATTTGAGGGTATTGGACAATGAGGCTTTGTTTAGGGCCTGGATGTCATCGGAGGCGGTCTTGCCGGTGTATTGTGTTGATCCTCGACTTTTTTGCGCTACCCATTATTTTGGATTTCCCAAAACTGGAGGTATCATTAGATGTTAATGCAATATCTGTTAATTAGAATATTTTTATGTTATGCATTCATTGCAAGGAAAACACCATCTAATAGAAATATGGGAAAAAATAAAAGAAAAAAATGCCCCAAAGTATGGAATTTTGGCTGTTTACATGGCTCTGTGGGAAGTGTTTGATTCATAAGGTTTTAAATAAGGACAAACTTGTGGAAAAATCTATATAATAAAACACATTGGAGTTTGAAAGTTTATCTCCTAAAAACATCACATCATCAAATTCTATTTATTCCTTGTTCAATCATTTAATATTTGATTAATTTGTAATTTAACACAAATTTTATTTTATACATTGTTCATATACGATAATTTACACGTGTTGAAAAAATTTGGTCGAATTATATATTTTGAGAAAATTTTGATGTTATTTTTTAAAAATTAATAGGTAAAAATTAATTTTAAATGATGTAATGAAAGAAACGAAGAGATAAAAAATAATNATGTTATTTTTTAAAAATTAATAGGTAAAAATTAATTTTAAATGATGTAATGAAAGCAACGAAGAGATAAAAAATAATTAGTTGGAATAGTGGGATCAATTTTTTAAGTGCTTAAATTTTATATTTGATTGTGTTTTCAGGCACGGGTTATGACTAGTTATTCAATACAACGGTTATATCACATGGTCATCGTCAACCATGATGATGTGTGACGTGAGCAACTAAGTAAAAAATAACAAGTAGGACTAGTGAACTCCAGTTAATCTAATGCCATAGTTATTGGATGTGGTAGTAATTGGTGGCTATTGATAAGTGGGTTGGTAGTCTTATTTGATGCTTTCCTACGAGTCAATGATGACATGGTTCACTGTTAATATTAAAATCCAAACAGTGAAGTAAAACTGATGCATGCAGCGGTGCTCTAGAAAAAATGGCAGAATTTGATGTATGCTACTAAGTTCTCCTTTTATGGTATTGAACATGATGTCATGTTCTATGGAATAGAAGTCTTACAATTTCGTAAATTGGCAGCTTTAAGGTCACAATTTCTTATAGAATGCTTGGCTGACTTGAAAAATAACTTGATGAAGTGCGGCCTAAACTTACTCATTCAACATGGGAAACCCGAAGAAATTCTCCCTTCCCTAGTGAAAGCATATGGTGCTCACACAGTTAAGGATTTTCTGCATTTTGGCTTCCTTTTATATTTAATTTTGTTGCATTTTATGGATTCTCAAGTTAAATGCTTCCCAAAAATATAAAAGAATTGGTGATGCAACAGGTGTACGCCCACAAAGAAACGTGCAGTGAGGAGCTAAAAGTTGAGAGCTTGGTTGACCAGAGATTGCGAAAAATGGTTCTGCAATCAGCTAAAGGGCTATCTAAGAACCCAAGTTCTTCTACCTACCTTGCTAAATTAGAGCTGATCTGGGGTAGTACTATGTATCATCTAGATGACCTCCCATTTGATTGTAGCTGTTTACCAGATGTGTATACTCAGTTTCGTAAGGTAAGGTGTTTTTGCACATAAGTTCGATTTTAAACTTTTGGCTTATTGGAATCGAGTTTCTCATGTGCAGCTATCTTTGTTTTCAATGATAAAATTATAGCACGTTGAATCCAGTTCTAAGATCCGAGGCTGTATCAAGCTGCCAATGTTGCTCGGTCCTCCACCCAGCATTGGTGATTGGGGATGTGTTCCTGCAATTGAGCAGATTGGACATCATCTGGAGAAGGCAGGTTTATACCTATGCAAATGACAAGCGTGCATTCCCGTTACAGAGATAACAAGGAATTAATTTTTGTGGGTATCTTTCTCTTCTATTGATGCAGGTCAGAAAAGGAATGAGGTTTGTGGGTGGTGAAGGTGCAGCACTGAGTCGAGTTCATGAATATTTCTGGAAGAAGGCAAGAAGATTTGGTTTAAATTATTTTTTCAGTAATTATGTGTCTACTAGTACACAGGGAAACTATATTTAAACCTGTAATTTTCTTCTTATATTTTTGGTTAAGGTTAAGATTGTATTAATCCAAAAAAGTGAAAAGAGGGAAACTCCTCAAATACAAGCTCTTAGAGTTGAGAAGCAAAAAATANAATATTTCTGGAAGAAGGCAAGAAGATTTGGTTTAAATTATTTTTTCAGTAATTATATGTCTACTAGTACACAGGGAAACTATATTTAAACCTGTAATTTTCTTCTTATATTTTTGGTTGAGGTTAAGATTGTATTAATCCAAAAAAGTGAAAAGAGGGAAACTCCTCAAATACAAGCTCTTAGAGTTGAGAAGCAAAAAATAAAAGGGCATTGGAGTGGAGGGGTCTAAATATAAAAGCAAGAAAGAAAGTCTATCCTTTTCAAATGACAATATATATATGTTAGATAGATAGCTATAAACGAGAATACAAAAAGAAACAGAGAGCTAGATTGTCAAGGTTTAGGATTTTGAAAGAGAAGAAAGGCTTGAAGGAGAAGAATATGGAGAGATTTTCTTTTGGTGAAGGGTGTTGTGTTTCGTCACATAACTCCACCTTATATTACTATATATGACCATAAAGAGTTATACAAAGTAAGGAAATATTCCTATACTAAAGTTAACTATAATATAATACTTTGGTATATAGATATCCATCTACCTAACTTGTAAATAATAGGGTGAAAAATCTTTTTACTAAGGCCATCAGGGAAAACATTGCTTTGCTAGTCTTTTGATTTCACAAATGACATGCAGATCAAACACTTATTAAGCTTTACTCTATTGATGTGTTGGTCAATCTCAACATGTTGAACTGGATTATGAACAATGTTGATAGATGCTTTATTATCACAATATTGCCTTCTAGGTCCATCATCTTGGTGACAGTGATCGACATCTTTCCTAGAGTTGACTTGAGACTCAAAAAATGTTAAACAAATTTAAGATGAGAAGTATGAGGATTATGCATGAATTGACTAACATCACCTACCGCATAAGTAATATCCGCTAGGTAGAGCTATGCGTATCCCCATAAGTATGTGATACATCTCTTTAATCTACTATATCATCAACACCACCACTGAATCCATAATTAGTTTGAATTAGTGTAAGAACCCATCTATTTATTTTAATTTACAATAAAAGATCAAGTATGATATTGAATTTGTTAAATTATGGTTATAAAGTTCATTGCAAAAAAATTGATGTTGTACGAGTAATTAAGACTTTTAGGGTGACTAGAATGTTTTGGGTAATCACTTCTAGGAGAAATTGAGTAGGTAAAATTTTAAAGGTCTATGGGTGAAAATAGCCTCAAGAACGGATTTGGAGCATCAACAAACTTTAGGGAAGTGACATGGAAGGTACTAGAACACAAAAAGACCAAATATAGCACAAAATAGAATTTTGACAAAAAGTTAGGCCAGTGTCTGGACGCAATACACCTGTTCGTACACTACAGGGAAGTGAGACAGAGAGTTGAAGGTGTTCAAATGGAAGGTTCACATTCGAGAGTGAATTGCAGAAAGTTGGGGCCATATGGACGCAAGATTTTCATTCAAACGCGCATGATTTTTTTAGCTAGATAGAAAGTTACCTATGTTTAGACATGTGTGAATTTTTGGCCCATATTAGATTTCGCCATTTAGACTGATTTTTGACCCGATAAATACCCTAGGATCAATTTTATGGTTTCTTTACATGAGTTACAATCCTAAGGAGCCTCTTGCGTTTGGACACGAATGTGATTTTAGCCGCGATCAATTTTTGCCATTTAGACTGATTTGATCCTATAAATACCCTAGGGATTAGTGTTACCGTTTCTTTACACGAATTTCAATCCTAAGGAGCCCAAGAGAGATTTAGAGAGTCGAGAGAAGAAAGAGGAGGAGAAAGAGCAGGGTGGGCTAGAACGAGAGGAGACCCACCCATAGGAAATCTCCTAAAGCACGTTATGATCAACTTTCTATGGAGTCAAGGGAGGGCTTCTTTCCTTTTCCTTTTCCTATTCATTGAGTCTAGAACTGTTATATATGTACTTTTGATTCCTATTCATATAAGTAGTATAGATTCATATTGGTTTTTTGTTTTTATTGAAAAAGCATGATTGAAAATTACCTGATTCCATATATACGTTTTGAGTTCACCAACATAATTAGAAAATGTTTTTCTATGATCTCATGCATGCTTTGTTGAATTTTCCTTTACTTAACGAATTGTGGAAAAACTGTTTTTTGTGGTACACGTGATCTATTTGAAAAACATGATTTTAATCTATTGTATTGGTGGGTTTGATGAACTTAAATGCACTCGAACTTATATTGCAGAGTGTTTAGATTCTTTTCTTACCTCGAGGTGTTTCAAGGTTTTCTGTCACTCATAGTGGGGTATTGGTCCTTTGCGAGGTTGGAACTCACTATTCGTTCAGGTAGGTTCAAGTCAGAGGGTTAATATACTACTCCTAGAAAGATTTCATTAACTATTGATGGGTCAGGATACACTCTTCCTAAAACAATGTGGCTCGTGGATTGATTGAATAGTTTGTATTTGTGGTGGGGTGGACGAGATAAATTCGGTGTGTGATTTCTTAATAATCAACATGCGTGCATGAGATATTTTTGTTGTAAGCTATTGTTCTTTGAATGATCCACTATATGATGAATTTTCTACTTGTATTGAAACTTAAAATCGTTATTAATGTCACATGATTTACTTCAAAAGTTATATATGCTTATTTTGTAAGTTTAAGACTTACCCCATTTTAATATAATTGTAAACCTTGTTTAGGCCTAGGAAAGATTCTCGTTTGAGCTCAATCCTATATTCAACATTTTTTAGATTTGGGTGTGGAGATTGATAATAGCATAAGTGAGTATGTGGATTGGAATGTTGAAGCGGATCAGGACGTGGATCTAGATTTTGAGACTTAGAGATTGATTCGCTTGTTTTAATTTTATGGTTTTGATGGAAGAATAATTTTTATTTTAGTTTATTGTTCAGTTAGATGGGNTTGGGTGTGGAGATTGATAATAGCATAAGTGAGTATGTGGATTGGAATGTTGAAGCAGATCAGGACGTGGATCTAGATTTTGAGACTTAGAGATTGATTCGCTCGTTTTAATTTTATGGTTTTGATGGAAGAATAATTTTATTTTAGTTTATTGTTCAGTTAGATGAGAGATATTTACTTTTGTTGAGGTTTTTGGAATGTACAATTGGGTCATAAATTTACACTTTGGGATTTATATCTAGCTTGTTGAGTATGGATTTTGAATTCTTTATTTGATGGTTGATTATTTTTAGAATGTGTTAGGACTAAATTAAAGGATTTTTAGTGAATTCACATTGTATTGAAATTGGGGCGTGAAATGAGAGTTTGGAGGTCTACAATCCAAGATGCAGAATATCAAGAACTCACTTCCTTTGGGAAGTGAATCACCTTAATCTGATATGGGATCCTTGATACTTAGAAAATATTTTAATGGATCTAAGTCTTTGATTTTGAACTCCTTATAGAAATGAGCTTTAGATTTGATGACTTCATGTACATCATTTCCTCTTCATATACACTAAACGTGTTATTAGCCAGATTGATGAACGGAGTCAATTGTAGTGACCCGATCTCATATTCAAATTTCAGCATAATTTTAAGTAACCTATCAAACGATGTTTTGGAGGAAATATTTGTAAAGAAAGAAACCGTTGCAAGCTCCAACCCAGATTAGCTAACATGAGAGCACATATGCTTGTCACTTTCTCTTAATAATCCCATAGGGCTAAGTGTATCGCTTTATAACTTGTCTAGCTCTATATCCTTTAGCTATCTCATCAGAATCTAGCTCAATAGTGAGCACCCATTTAGACCATACTTTCCTTTTTCCAATCGGAAGAGAAACCAGATATGAGGTTTTGATTCTTTCGTGAGGTGTTCATCTCTCTACATAGTTTCTTTCCACTTCGGGTCTGCTAGAGTTTCTTTCCAACCTAAAGAATAGATGCAAGAGAGAGAGAGAGAGAGAGAGAGAGAGAGAGAGAGAGAGAGAGAGAGAGGAAACAAATACACATTAAGATGGTGATAGAGAGTAATAAGAGAAAAGAAATTAGAAATAGAGTGTTGAGTACAAAGTCCAACACCGGAAGCTTAGAATTATCCATAACTTGATCCTACGTGATTGTGTTAATAGCATAAAGCTCCTTACTTGATCAACCAATTATTTGAGAACCGGAGTTGGGGAATGCAATTGACTTAGTGGCATATGAGAAATCTGTGCTTTTTGGCGTCAAGAATGAGTCTTTGTATTAGCCATTCCCAATTGCTCACCTAGTGCTAGTGTTCCATCTTTTATTAATAAGTTGTTACTCCGCCTCACTACTATTGCTACCCCAATGAATTAGCAGTGAAAGTGATGCTCCTGGCTAGATTTCTTTTTCTCCGCTTTATTGGGAAGTAGAAAAGATTGCTTAGATTTGCAAGCTTAGATTCGTCAAATACTACATTCTTGCTAACATACAATTTCTGAGAATGTAGATGATCGCCTTCACATTGTTTTTGGATGACAGAAGCCTTGATCATGTTTTTCCTTGGAAGTTTTGCTAACCATATCAAACCATGAGCAAATCTGACATCAGAAGAAACTTTAGGAGGAAGGGAAGAAATAAGAGGTATATAAAAAATCCATGATAGAAAGTCAACACACGGGTTCAAAAAAAAGGACACTTGATAAACTATTAATGAGATAAACTGCTGGGAAAACTGCATCTCTCCAAATGGATTGAGGGGCATTCCTACTAAATGTCAAAGAACAAGCAACTTCAAAAAGGTGTTGATTTTTCGGTTGAATGACACTATTTTGTTCGTACTCAACCAAGTGATTGGATGATAGAATACCATTCTTATTGAGATAGGCATGGCATTCCTATCAATGTTCTCAACCCCATTATCACTCCAAGAATTTTGATTTCAGAATCAAGCTGGGGTACTCAACATTTTTTAAATGGTTTTAAAACAAGAGAAATTTTCAATTTTTATACCAAGTAAACAAGAGTAAGACAAGAATAAATGATAAAAAAGTGACGAACCAATGATAGCCAGAAATAGACGCAACACAGAAAAGTATCCACCCATCAGAATGAATAAACATAAAAGGAGTGTGCTATTTTATTCTCTCTAGGATTAGATGAGCGTTTATNATGATAGCCAGAAATAGACGCAACACAGAAAAGTATCCACCCATCAGAATGAATAACCATAAAAGGAGTGTGCTATTTTATTCTCTCTAGGATAAGATGAGCGTTTTTGCTTGAAAAAGTCACAAGCGTCACAAAACAAATTTATTGCTGTTACATTTTTTCGTTGACTAGGATAACGCTTTTCTAAAACATCAAAAGAAGAATGGTCCAGGCAGCCATGCCCCTGATGTAAGAGTTGAAGAGACTCTTTTCTCTCTACCATATCACTTGTAGGTTATAAAATGTAATCTCAGAACCACATGAAGCAACTTGTTACTTTTCTGTCACTTTACTATCATGTAATTATATTGAGCTACTTGTCTAAATTCACTCTATTAGTACCATTCTAGGATTTGCTGATGAGGTATAAAAAAACCCGAAATGGGATGTTGGGACTTGATTACTCGACAAAATTTTCCCCATGGCTTGCTTCAGGAAGCCTCTCCCCTCGTCTCATATATGAAGAGGTATGATATCTGTAATTCTAGCCATTGGATTGCTTAATTTCACTTATTTAGTTAAGATACTGAACTAGGGGTACAACTTCTATTTGATTTGTCAGGTAAAGCGATATGAAAAGGAGAGAGAATCCAATGATTCTACATATTGGTATTTCTCCCTCTGTGTATGTATGTGTGTGTCTGTTCAACTACGATTTTAGATTGTAGTTTGTTTTTGGACAGATCGAATCTACTAATCCAAAACCAATCTTTATATCTTTTCAACAGTTTTGGTCAAACTTTATCACATACATTTTCTGATGCAGTTTTCTTATTTTCAGGATTTTGTTTGAATTGATTTGGAGGGATTACTTCAGGTTTCTATCAATCAAATATGGAAATTCTCTTTTCCATCCAGGTAAATCTGAGATTTTATACCGATTTTAATTGTTAAATCACTGTGTATACGCAAATCTTAAAAGTGAAGTCACTAGCTAGCTCAGTTGTAGGATATTTGGGTTATATTTCCCGGGTTTGATCCCTACCAGAGCTTGAAACCATCTTCAACCACATTACCAATGGTCTATCTTCAAAGATGGACAGGCAAACTTTTTGAGAATGATTATGTTACGTATGTATATTATACTATATTTTTTTATGAAATATTAGGATTAGTTATTAGGAAGAAGTTTAAATAGTGGGGTTAGTGGTGTAGGATTAGTTATTAGGAAGAAGTTTAAATAGTGGGGTTAGTGGTGTAGGATTAGTTATTAGGAAGTTGTTTAAATAGTGGGGTTAGTGGTGTAGGATTAGTTATTAGGAAGTTGTTTAAATAGTGGGGTTAGTGGTGTAGGATTAGTGAGTTTTCTAGGTGGTTATTAAATAGTGGAGTTATGTGTTGTGTTGGTTATTTTTAGGTTATATTCATTATGTATTTAAAGACCCCACATCAATGAAAATGGTATGTTGGATTTGAGATAAACTTTTTTAGTGTAAGTCGTGAAGGTTGGGGTTTCACTCGAAGTAAACCAACAAAGGTTTCTACCCCCTCGAAGAGGGTTTCATTTTATCGATTCTAATTTTTATTTTGGTTATATTTTCTCAAAATTCATGCACGTATCAATTGGTATTTTGAAGTCAGACATGGAAGATCGAGTTAGCCAAATTGAAGCATAGTTACCCTATCAAGTGTCGGACAAGAAAAGATAATGAGGGATACTCACAAGTTATTTCTCGCCATGAGCTCTCTCTTTGATCAATTAGTAACCAATCGAAGTTGCTTCCATGAAAATGGAGGTAGGAATAATGGCCACGCATCTTCTGTTTCTAGTGGATTAATCTCGGTAACCTCTAAAAATCTGAAGTTGGATATTTCGCAATACAATGATAAGGAAGAACCCACCATTTTTGTTTGTCCAACCAAACAATTCTTTGATCTGCAATACACTGCCAGTGATTATAAGACCCCTTCAAATGTTTGCCATGTACGGTATAAGCTATTCAAGGAAGACAATGAGTTGCTTACATTGGTCTTTGCCAACAAGAAGCAGGTGGGTTCGGTTGAACACTGTCATACACTTCTTTCAAATTTACTTGCACCATGCTGTAATTTATTGAGATATTTTATAAGTGGACTCATGCCCTTACATTCCCAGCCATCTTATCCGCTGTCATGTCTCTCTAAGCTTTGTGAAGCCAAAGATTACATTCATTGTTACAAGGATATGGAAGTGGGTTGGCAGCCTCCTTTTTTTACTCGACAAATTATACTTTGGGGACAAAGTTTTTTGAATGGGAATAGAATGTTACCTGCGTATTCTGCAATGTATTTTTTATGTAATAGTAGGATTAGTTATTAGGAAGTTGTTTAATTAGTGGGTTAGTGGTGCTGGTTTAGAGGTACTTAAATAGTGGAGTTCTGTTTGTGTTGGTTAGTTTAAGTTATATTCATTATATATTTAAAGACCTCATTATCAATGAAAATGGTATGTTGGATTTGAGATAAACTTTCCTAGTGGAGGTTGTGAACATGGGGTTCCTCTCGAAGTGAACCAACGAAGGTTTCCGTCCCCTTGAAGTGTGTTTCCTTTTCTCGATTCTAATTTTTGTTTTGTTTATATTTTCTCAAAAATCATGTTTGTATCATACTACTTTGATATACTATTTCTGCCCCAAAGTTCTTCTCTTTTGTATATTCCAATACTTATAGTCCAATGCAAAAAGCCTAAGTACTTTTTATGCAACATTACCTTTTTTCCATTCATAAAATGAGCATTTTATTGAAGGATAATTTATTGGCATATTGGCCTACATGATGGTTCAGGTAAGCGAAACACTGCTTTCCTCTGTTCAGCTATCTTTAGGACGAATTATGCAACCTCATGGGCCACTATATTACAGTTAACACCAACAGGATACCAAATCACATCTATGAAAGTCTGATAAAAATCCGAAACAGGGACTAAAAATGTTGTTCCTGGATCCATCTCTTGCTCAGACAGCAAAAGACCGGTATACTGTCACTTTCGGTTGGTGCTCTCTTTCATCCCCGTTTCCTCTATCATAGCTAGAGTCTGTCTCACCACTATGGTTTCTCCCATAGTTGGTTCTCCACAATTCTGAACCTTCGTTGCAGCAGCTCTTTATGCAACCTTCCAAATATACCCTAATCAACTTTTGTCGGAAGCTACTTTCCAAAAGTAAAAAAATAAAACTTTTGTAAGANTATGCAACCTTCCAAATATACCCTAATCAACTTTTGTCGGAAGCTACTTTCCAAAAATAAAAAAATAAAACTTTTGTAAGTTTCCCCTAGTGAAATTTCATATTTAAATGGATAGTCATGTTAGAATTTCAAGATTTCTTATCAGATTTAGAGTGAGTTTGGGATGACTTATGAAATCCAAAAATTACTTTTTTAATAAATGTTTATCAAAAGGGTTTATAAGAAAAAAACTTTTATTAAATAAATATTGTTTGGATATTCAAAATTTAAAATACTTAAATTAATGTATTTTATAAAAAGCACGCTTGGATGTAAAAATACTTATTTGTGTCACAGCATTGAATACACATATACAAACATACACTACAGATATAATGATATACCCANTAAAAATACTTATTTGTGTCACAGCATTGAATACACATATACAAACATACACTACATATATAACGATATACCCAAAAAAAAAAAAATATCACACAAAAATATCATATTAATTAAGGTATCATACGAAAAAACTACATAGTCCAACTATCCTAATGACATACTAAAGTTGCAAAACACGTGTTAATAGTAAATACAATCAAAAATCATGCTTGATTGTCCCTTAGAATTGTTAAAACAATACGTTCTCTCTTCCTATACATTTGATTTGTATCTGACAAATCAATATCCTCTTCAAAAGCAGTTTAGTTTACATTACCTACCTCCTCTAACTCCACGTCTTTATTAACGTACCTTTCAAATAATGTCTTTGATGCCATGAAACCTTACGTAATTGTGGCACGTCATGCAAGCAAGAACAATAAATATTTGCTTAGGGAAACCAAAATATGGCATTTGCTGTTGTTAGAGTATAGTCTAGTTTATTAGGGTTTCTTTTTCTTTTTTTTACTCTTTCTATGACTTTTATATTTTGCCTAGACCACAAGGATGTTTAAGTCACTCTGTACTATTATTTGGCTATATATACGGGGTTCTACTCTTAGTTTTAGTATCCCTTTTTACTCACTAATATTAAGTTGGTATCAGAACCAAAACCCTAGCTTCTCCTTTACATCCTCCTAACCCTAACCCTAGCCCTAGCCCTTTCACCACATTGCATCCATTAGCCATCGTGATTGCCCAACCCACTGACCGACATACTCAACCATATACTCCTCCCTCACCAATATACTAGTCCACCAATCGACATACTTAGAGAACCCCCTAAGCCACCGTGACTGCCCTACCCACTGACCGACTGACATACTCAGCGAACCCCCATAATCCATCGACCGACGTACTCCTCCCTCAATCCATAAAGCACCGACCCTATCAAACCAACCAGCAACCACCGACAGCCAAACCAGTCCCTGCCCCAGCAAACCGACATACACCAAACTTCAACCAAAACTCCACTGCCCCAACAAACCGACATACACCAAAACCCAGCAACCCAAAACCCAAAAATACCAGTCCACCCAAAACTCCAAAGCCTAGAAACCTAATAACCCAGCAAAACAAGCGAANCTATGACTTTTATATTTTGCCTAGACCACAAGGATGTTTAAGTCACTCTGTACTATTATTTGGCTATATATACGGGGTTCTACTCTTAGTTTTAGTATCCCTTTTTACTCACTAATATTAAGTTGGTATCAGAACCAAAACCCTAGCTTCTCCTTTACATCCTCCTAACCCTAACCCTAACCCTAGCCCTTTCACCACATTGCATCCATTAGCCATCGTGATTGCCCAACCCACTGACCGACATACTCAACCATATACTCCTCCCTCACCAATATACTAGTCCACCAATCGACATACTTAGAGAACCCCCTAAGCCACCGTGACTGCCCTACCCACTGACCGACTGACNAAAAAAAAATATCACACAAAAATATCATATTAATTAAGGTATCATACGAAAAAACTACATAGTCCAACTATCCTAATGACATACTAAAGTTGCAAAACACGTGTTAATAGTAAATACAATCAAAAATCATGCTTGATTGTCCCTTAGAATTGTTAAAACAATACGTTCTCTCTTCCTATACATTTGATTTGTATCTGACAAATCAATATCCTCTTCAAAAGCAGTTTAGTTTACATTACCTACCTCCTCTAACTCCACGTCTTTATTAACGTACCTTTCAAATAATGTCTTTGATGCCATGAAACCTTACGTAATTGTGGCACGTCATGCAAGCAAGAACAATAAATATTTGCTTAGGGAAACCAAAATATGGCATTTGCTGTTGTTAGAGTATAGTCTAGTTTATTAGGGTTTCTTTTTCTTTTTTTTACTCTTTCTATGACTTTTATATTTTGCCTAGACCACAAGGATGTTTAAGTCACTCTGTACTATTATTTGGCTATATATACGGGGTTCTACTCTTAGTTTTAGTATCCCTTTTTACTCACTAATATTAAGTTGGTATCAGAACCAAAACCCTAGCTTCTCCTTTACATCCTCCTAACCCTAACCCTAGCCCTTTCACCACGTTGCATCCATTAGCCATCGTGATTGCCCAACCCACTGGCCGACATACTCAACCATATACTCCTCCCTCACCAATATACTAGTCCACCGACCGACATACTTAGAGAACCCCCTAAGCCACCGTGACTGCCCTACCCACTGACCGACTGACATACTCAGCGAACCCCCATAATCCATCGACCGACGTACTCCTCCCTCAATCCATAAAGCACCGACCCTATCAAACCAACCAGCAACCACCGACAGCCAAACCAGTCCCTGCCCCAGCAAACCGACATACACCAAACTTCAACCAAAACTCCACTGCCCCAACAAACCGACATACACCAAAACCCAGCAACCCAAAACCCAAAAATACCAGTCCACCCAAAACTCCAAAGCCTAGAAACCTAATAACCCAGCAAAACAAGCGAACACACCCAGCCATAACCCAGCCCATTGCCCAATCAAACCAGCTCCACTACCCCAGTAGTAAATCCATCCAACAGGGATACCAGCCCCTTTCCTTCGTGCTTCGTGCTCTTCATAGTGCCGCCATTTCTTTTGCACCACTAACTTATTTATCCTACAGTTGCACATTTAGGACCTTTTTAAGAGGGGTTGAATCCTCTTCTCCGTTGATCTACTTTTGATGCAGTAGATCATTTATATATTCACTGGATTTTTAGGCACCATGACCTAATTATTTAGGAGCTTTTTGGACCTTTATCTGTCTCGATTGTTCGATTAGAGTTATATTATTTTTCCTTATTTTGTCCCTCTACTTGTCTTGGAGTTTTTTTTGTCACGGGTGTCCACATATTATTGCTGATATGACTACTACTGAGGGACGTGAGACTTTTACTATTGAGACCTTTACTATTAGTATTTCCACTTGGAATGTACTACCTAGTTCTCCCACTTTTATGTTTGATCAGTATACAGTATCTACTGACACAGTTGTATTACCGGCAATGTCGGGTATGATCTCTCAGAAGGTTACGACATAGTTGTTGAATGGTCGTAATTTTGCTGAGTGGTCACGCTCATTCCAACTTTTCTTAGGCCGTGTAGAAAAGTTTGGATGGCTGACGGGATCTCACCCAAAGTTGGTTGATGACGACCCTGAGTATTCTGCGTGNCTCAGAGTATCTTTTAGCGGCTCACTTGTCCGTATAATCCTGAGTAAAATGAAGTTACTGAAAAGAAAAATAGGAGTCTAATAGAGATGGTATGTTGTATACTTGGAGGTGTGGGGGTACCAAATTTTATTGGTATTTTGCTGTTTTGACTTCTACCTTTTTTTGCAATCGTACACCAAATCGTGTTCTTCAACATAAGGCTCCTTTACAGGTCTT